CATCCCAGCACCTGATTTCACTGTGACAGCGGCTGGATGGTGTGTGTTCATCAGCCGAACACAAAGGAAATGCTGCAGCTCAGTCTGTTGAAGTCAGGTTGAATTTAACCTGAGTTTTCTAAAGGAACAAACCAGCACAGTACATCCTGTTGGCTTTGACTACAGGACTTTTGTCCAGGGACAGTGGATCTCCCTGGTCCAGGATCTGTGCAGATGGGACTGAGTCACAGCTCCAGAAACAGTCTGACACGATGAGACATCTCCTTCCCCTTTGTCTCGGAGAGGCATGCCTGCATGCTGGCAGCTGGCTAGCTTAGCTTAACACAAAGACTAAACTGGGGAAACAGCTAGCCTGACTGGAAAAAAAATCCACCTACCGACAACTTTCACTCTGCAAAATGATACATGGAGGTTTGTACATGATTTGGGACAGATGAACCTAATGAGAGAGGTTGTGTTAATCGGTGAACTTCAGAGGTCCCGAAAGGAAACAAAAGGGAGGAGAAGAGTAACGCTTAAAAGAGAAAATCATGACAGAACAGAGCAGAGAAACCAGAAACAAGGACAAGAAAAGAAGTGAACAAGTGAGGAGGAGAAAGGAGAAAACAAAAGAAGGAAAGAGAAGAGGTCAGAGGAGCTGAAAGAGAGAGTGAACCCAGACAATAACAAGAACACTGGGGCCTTGGGGCAACGAAGCAAAAGGACAAAAACACGAGATGACAAATGCAGACGGAGAAAGGCTGAGGAGCAGCAGTAGCAGAGAGATGCCAGATGGCAGGAAGCCTCAGGAGCGCACACAGACACACAGCATGCAGTGGGAGTTCAGAAGGCATCAGCCAGAGAGGTGAGGGGTGAGGGTGGCACGTTCAGGGTAAACCAACCCCCAGGCATAAACAGCTCATCAGCCAGTTTACACCCAACAGGTCTCAGCAGAAATGTGGACGTATTGATGAAAGTGACACAGTGCAGTGCAAACAGACAACATCCACACATCGCCGACTTAGGTGTGTGTGGAGGGGTGAGGAGGCTGTGACCTCCCTGACATGATGACGCTAACACAAACATCAGGTTTCCACTGTCTGAGCCTTGACTGGAGCTACAGTGGTTTAATGGCACCGACTGGAGAACCAGCAGGAGGGGCTGGAGACCCACTCGGTCGCTGCTCAGACTGATACGAATATGTGCAGAAAACAGTGAAACCACACACACGAGGAAAACTCTGCACACTGCAAACACTATGATGAGCGTGAAGTGTTTCCTCTTAATCAGGTCACAGCTGAACATCGATCGGTGGCAGAAACCCAGAGCTGATAATGAACCTGGAGGACAATCACAGAGCAGGAAGAGCAGCTCGTTCACACAGGGGGAGGGAGCTGAGAGCACACAGCTGTGAGGCCCAACATCATAAAGGGTTACACCCTGTTTATGAAAGGAGAAGACTGACAGAAGCAGCGGAAATCAGTCCAGTGCGACCCCCACTCGCACACAGACACACATCCCCCAGATGATGCTGCTCAAGGTGATGATGGAAATGGCTTCTGTTGCCACAGCAACAGAGGGGGATGCTGCAGTGACCAGGCCATCCCCTGTGGCGAAGCTGGACTCCAGGGCACCAGCTATCAACACCAGCAGCAAGGGACACAGCCTGCAGCACATGCAGACACAGTGACACACACAACAGACCGACAATCACTTTTACAATGCAGCTCATTCATTCTGATTATTCAGTAGTGAAAGTACAACATGTGTGTCTGTAGAGTGCCACTCCTGAGTCAGTGTGTCGTCTCCTCGCACACAGGAGGGCCTGTCTGCATATTGTTAGATAGTAAACAACTCAGCTGTACGTCTCTGCGCTGCGCCTTGTCGAGTCCAGCTGTCATTTGTGGCTCCTTGGTTCAGGCAGCCTTCGCCTTCCCTCTGCCCTCTGTGTGTGGGTGAGATGTAGTTTTAAACGCAGTTCATCACTCAGTATTTTCTGACTGAATGTATAGTGCAACATGAAACTCCACGAAGCCCCGTGACACAGATTTGTGGCTGGAGTTAGCGCTGCGCTCAAACCAGATCAAACTGGGGATTACACTAAGGAGCATCATTAGAAAGTTGGTTCACTGTAAATATGGATTCTTTTTAAGAAACGCATGCAGAGACTTTACTTGTTCAAACTGCTTAATGGTTTAGGGGCAAGACAGTAAATGTTAGTATGGACAGCTGACAAGGGTCCTCAGAGTGTCAGTGAATGAACCAGAAGGCCATGGGGAGATCTGTGTCACACTGGAGCCACTGGTCTACACTCTGGTTGGATAAGAAGCCATTTATCCCCCAGGAGTATATGCAGCATTCATGGCAGTGTTGCTGGCAGTGTTGTCTGTTTTAATGCTTTAATTAACTGCTGGATGGCCACAGACCATTTGTTCTCCAGCAGCTGTTCACTCACATGTGATTGTGTACAATCAGTACAAATGTGCAACTACTGTGTTAAGTGGAGCTCCTGCTATGAGTCAGAAGGAATGTTGGTAGTGAAATGAAGAAAAAGAAAACACAAACTGGGCTGGCTGTTACAGAGTCTGTCTGGACGTTAGGTAGCTAACTACTCTGTGTGCTGCAGGCTGTGACCCCCGCCTTTCTGTCTCATGCCTCAATCGCGCGTCTTCTTCCAGCCTCCTACTTTGTGCAAACGATCCTACAGAGGAGAAACAATGACTGTACCAACTGTACCCCTCTGTCAGGCTCCACAAACACAGCAGAGAACACCTCAACAGGTCTTCACTGGCGCACAAAAACACGCACATGCACCATTAAATACTGTGGGACGAGAGCGGTAACTAAGCCTGGTGAAGTTCACCTGACTGTCCCTTCGTTGTGTACAAGCAGAGCACTGTGGCTGCTGCAGCCCTAAGCAGAAATCACATCAGGACCACAGTGGGCCTGCTTCCAAAGTGCAGCCCAGCATTCACTCATTCACTTGAACAGTAGATACTACATGGATTTAAATTTCTGGGACTGTCCTGATGTGTGTGTCACAGCTCAGTGCTGCAGCTGCCTGGTCCTACAGAATCTAATCCTCCCATTAACATACACACACCGTATATCTCTATGATCTTCAGTCATGCTGCTCTCCACAATCTACAGAGCAATAACTGGTATTCAGCACACATCACTGTCACTTTCCAATTGTACTGAGTGCAGCTACTTCATGCCAAAAACCACAGTCTAATCTGAACACACACACTATACATACACTTTTAGATTCAATGTGATTTACACGCTCTAAGGAACAGAACAAACCTCCATAAATCCATGGAGACATCAGAGGAGAAGAGGCCGCAGAGAGAAGCCTCCTGTTTTTTAAGTTTCCTTCAGTATCACAGTGATCCAGCGACAGGTGTCTGTCAGGGGTGTGGCGACGACAGTTCCCATTGAGGCAAATGCTGTCTTATGATGTCAGTACAGAACAGTCAGTAACAGAACAGTCAGTAACCGAACAAGAGCGGCAGCCAGTGTAAAGGAGTATGTCTGTGCAGATTCTCAGTCATCCAGGTCATAGTAAACTGAAAAAACTTCAAAATTCAACTGGACTAGATTTCTAGGTCGAAGACGTTTCACCTCTCATCCAAGAGGCTTCATCAGCTCTGACTGACTGGTGTTGAGCCGGAGATATTTATCCCCTTCGGTGGTGTTTCAGTCCTTAGAAGGCCAACAATGTCCCTTAATGACTCTGGAGAGGATCTGGACTTCACTGTCCTCAAAAGAATGTCCTCTGTCCTTCAGGTGGAGGTGGACTGCTGACTCTGGTCCACTGGAGTTGGCCCTCCTGTGTTGGGCCATGTGTTTGTGAAGCGGCTGGTTAGTTTTACCAAAGTACAAGTCGTTACACTCCTGACTACACTTAATTGCATACACCACATCACTGTGTTTATGTCCTGTTTTGTCCTTCAGGGGGACCAGTCTCTGCCGCAGGGTGTTCCCTCTCAACTTTAAATCACAGGGCAGAGGAAGTGAATAGCGGTGAGCGCTCATGCTAACAAAGTAAACAACAGTGTTTCTCTTGTAGGCGTCCACGTCCCAATCATCACCAGTACGTGACTGGCCAATGCAGTGCCTTTCCTGGATGATGTCACCGTTTAGTGCGGTGAAAATAACACAGAAGGTCACACACCCAGCTTCAGTTAGAAGTTAGAACCTCATGCACAGTTCATGCACTGTCCTAAGGTCTAAGAGACGCATGTGAAATCATAAGTTCATCATCACACCCCTGTTGTCTGCACATCGATGGGGACACTGTACACAGGAGGTGCTGACTGCTCATCCTGCTGCTGCTGGTAATGGAGACACTCGACTCACAGTGGACAGGGTTTTAAAAGGATATAAATCAGCTTTTTTATTCCACGTGTTCTTCTTCCTAAATCCAACCTGAGGCCTACTGTACATTACCCACCATGCACCTGGAGCTCTGACAGCTGGATGAAGGATTGCAGTGCGTTATGCTCGTAGGTCCAAATGTTTCCTGAACAGTGTTGGGCAAGTTCACCTGGAATCAGTTACTCAGCAGCAAACATAATGTGTGACTACTTGTTTAGCAACCCCCTGGCCTCAAACAATCCAGGACCTGAGTTTCTGCTGAGCAGTTGTCCTCAGGCTCTAACACCTAAAGTTCATTTCCTGGCTGATGACGGCGTGGAGGGTGAGACAGGGCACTCTGCACTCTCTCCTGCCAGCACACTTTCAGCTTCACACTTTGTTTAACTGTTTGCCTGGCAGACATGAACCTGCCCACGTGCACACGCCAGCAGATAGCTCACCTGGCACAAAGATCAAATCGAGTTCAGGAAACAGCAACACAGCTTTATCTGGAGACACGAAAAGCTTCATAGTTTTAAAGCACCTGCAGCAGTACTCTCCAACACCTACACGTCCTCAGGTGGAAAACCAACAAACCAAGACTTTCTCTACTTGCATAACATTCAATGAACCGGTCTGGTCCAGCACTGTGTTTTACTCACATGAGTGGAGGGAGAAGTGCTTGCGTTCTGAAGAGCCTGTGTTTCCAGCAGCTGACGAGATAGGAGGGGTCACAGACGAACCCAAAGAGCCAACTGCCGGGCGGGCCGTGGAGCTGACCGCTGCTGACGAGCTGGAAGAGTCCCCCCCCTCTCCCAACAAGTGCTGGATGGAGTGGAGCTGGAAACAGGGGTCCGAGAGCAGGACGGAGGCAGCTCGAGATACCCTGAGAGAGGGTGGGGGCAGAGGGAGAAACAACAAAGTGTCACCTTAACACACTTACCCAGAGTTCTTTTGTATTGTTTCTAATAACACAACCTAAAAGCAACCAAACACAACAGATTCACTGTTTGTGCAGAGCAGCTACAGGGAGCAGAGACATCCTGGGCTTGTCGGAGTGTTCCCAGGGTCTGGATCAAGTCCAACAGAGACCAGGGTTTCACAGAATCACTAACACCTTTTAAATCACTCCAGCAAATGTAGTTGAATACACTGTTTCTGCTCAACTGGCTCCATTTCCATCTTTAGTTGTTTTTGTCTGGAAGGCATTTGCCTTTGTCAGAAACAGTGAAACATGATAAAATGAGTAACAAGGCGGCTTTTTAAAGTGGGAGCAGATCAGAGTGAATGCAGGATGAAAACAACCCAGCAGGAAGTGAACATGTGATGTGTGAGAGTGAAGATGTTCCATAAACACAAGCTAAACATGCTAAAGAGGCTCACAGCAGTGTGTTCACTGCAGATGTGAGCTCACGCTGTCAGTTGTCAGTGTGTAAACATGACGCCGGTGTTTCCAGACAGGCGCTGACGTGTCCACGTTGATAGGCCCACATTTCACCAACACCTCCCGTCATGCTGTAGCTTCTCCACAAGATCTCATCTGGAACTGAACCAACCAAAGAACCGCTGCCTTCTTGTATTTTCACAACTCAGTGCTGCTTTTTACACAGTGACAGTCTGACTCACAGCCTCCACGGTGCACAATCCACTCCTTCTCTTCTTGTCACCTTTCACCTGTCTTTTTGTTCTGATGAAGCTGTCTGTGAAATGAAACTGCCCACCTCGTCTCTGCTCTCTCTTGCAGCACCACTCAGTCCAACCTCTCTGCATCAATCTTTTACAGCGGGACTCTCCGCGGCACCCGAGGCCCACTCACTCACTCACTCACTCTCTCTCTCTCTCTCACGGTTTCTTCCTATGGCTGATTCTCTGCTCTCTCTCTCACTGTTCTTGCCTCTTTTGCTGCTACAGTCAAAGTCACACAAACACACACACAGAGGAAGTGTAATTCTGCAGGAGGTTTTCACAACTGTGTCGGGGAACTATTGTTCTCAAACAGTGGCACTAGCACCATGCTAAAATAATGAGTACAGAGGGAGAAGCAGGGTGGGGACTCTGCTCTGTACTGGTGGGCTGTGGAAATGCATTTTCTACTGGATTTATCAAGACAGCAGGGAAACATGGAGGAAGCTTTCAGGTCAGCTTCAGCTCAGCGGTACATTCAAACATGACCAAATGTACCAACATTACTTTTAAATAAATGTAAATCAAGAGCCATATTCAGGAACAACATGTCACTGGCACCACTTAGATCACATGAATGGAGAGGAATGTTAGTCTTTAGGACAAACTGAAATGGAACACAGCATGTGAGCTGTGTCCTGTGAGCTCACAGCATCCCATCATATTATGCTTGAAGGATGAAGCTAAGGATGAAGAGGTGCCTTAAACACACACACACCAACACACACATGCTGTTGGCTGCAGGTGCCAATTCCCACCAACCGCCTCTTTAAGCTCCAGCACAACAAGCTAAAGGCAAACACACACCTGGCCAACAGACCCCAGTCACTCACATACTCAGTTATCAACATGTAGGACATGATCACTCCCCGTGCACGCTGCAGCTCAATCTCTTTACTGTCGCCAGCTGAGGTGAGCGTAAATGTATTAGGTTCTTCTGTTAAGTTTGTCCTCCCCCCTTTCGCCAAGTGCCGCTCACGGGGTGTTTGTTGGGTTTCTCTTTATAATCCTGTGAGGTCTAGACCTGACTACATAAAGCGCCCTGAGATGTTCGCTGCTGTGCTTTGGCAGTGTACAAAGAAAAGTGTAGTGAACTGAAAGCAGAGTCTGACATGTTCACTACTTTACACTACTGGGGACGAACCAACGCTGACCAGTCAGCACTCGCCTCAGTCTTATGTTCTAGTATTTTATGGCTGTCACTCAGGCCGTGTCCACATCTCAGGCCTCAACGCTCAGCTCTGATCTTTGTGTCCGTGTGTGTCAGCGCCATGTACCCGGCTCCGGTGTGAACACCGCTGAGCTCCTAAACTGCCACACATGCACAGATGGAACTGAAATGTGAGCCACGTGCACACAAGAATAACAACCAGGTCGTGTGTGCTACGGTCAAATGGCCCAGGTTCCTCCCAAACTGCTGGGTTACGGTATGTTCCTTCCAGAAGAGAAAGGCTGATTAGCAACAGCTAGGAGGCCAGAGCTTAGTCAGTGATCACTCTGACTCCTAGATGTGCCTTTAAATTCATGCTGCTACATAAACCCATCTCACACCAAAGCAGGAGAAATATAGAGCTGACAGAGGTTAGCTCAGGTGAAGACTGTAATGACTTCTCAGCCCTCCTGTCGCGTTTCATCTGTGTTCATTCAGTCTCACTTTACTCCGTGATACATTTTTCATCTCCTCTATCTTCTAAGCGTTCTGAGATTCCAACTGCTTCCATCCTTCTTGTGTACAGTTACCATGGTTACAGCTACAAGAAAAGGTAGCCAACAAATATTTGTCGGGCTGGGTTTTGTTGATGAAATTAACAGTTTCACATTTTCTTCTTCACTTCTGTTTCCTCACTCTATCACTGTCTTTGTCCTCAGCAGCCCCGACTCTGACACAAAGATATACTGAATATATTAACTCTATGCATGTTCCCAATAGCTGATATCCACCTATCTACCCAAGTCATTTTAGGTGCCTGAGGTACATATCAGAGGTTAAAAGCTCACATCACCAACATGAGACTTTTGCTGAAATAGAATCCTCCACATAAACGCACCAATTTGCAGCTTTAATGTTAAAACATGTCTGTGCTTGGTCGTCCTGGCCACTCTGACTGGCTCTGATCTTTTCTTTAATAGCCCACCTGCCACTCTGCTGCCTGGCCAGACGTGTGTGTGGCGCTCAGTGGTCGGCGCTGACAGGTCACCTGTGTCCCCCCCAGCAGGACTCCAGAGTGACCGCTGGGGAAACACTGTGACATTTTCCTGTCGAATCTCCTCTGACCTTCTCATTACAGCAGCCCTCACACACACACCCTCTCCTACCTGGCCTCTGGTTTCCATCATGCAGAAGTGAAATCATCAGCAGCCCGATGAACCCAAACGAAGGGAAAAGGAGGAGAAAACGATGAAGCAAACGTCTTTTGAGGTGTTTTGGTAAAAATGAGGACCAGTGTGAGTCAGCATTCGGCTGGAAAATGTCACCGACTGTGTCTCTGTCAGACGCCTGTGCTCCAAGTCGACACGGGTCCTTTGTGTGTTTCCTGCTTAATTATAAAGCAATAAAAGGGCAACACGCTCAGATAGACACGGGTCAAATGAAAATGACTTCAACATGAATGAAGAGTCAAAACAACAATGGACAAATGAATATCTGCCGGGAAATGTCCGTAAAAAGACAAAAGAGGACTTTGCCCGTTTTACCACATGATGGATGAGCACCTGTCAAAGCCAACATGGAGCCTGTTGTTTATGGTAACCCGGGTTTCCCTTATGGCCGTCTGTGTTGGTGAGCGTGATGATGGAGTGTGTCAGTGTGTGATGGGATCAGATCTCAGTGTGATGGCAAAGATGTTGAGAGACAACAAAGGCGTGTGTGTTGTTCATGTTCAGCAGACCCTATTAACGTAACTGCCTAAAGTAACACACAGTACACTGGGCTGGTCGTGTGTGTGTGTGTGTGTGTGTGTCACCATAGAGATGGAAGTGTGTGCATCTGCTGTGTGACTTTGATTGAACCACACACACAAATGAAGTAAGACACACACGTGCAGTGACAGTGAAGACACACACTGAACACAGTCTCGACTCAGAGGAAGCTGTAAGACATCAAGTTCTGCTGAAAGTGACGAGTCAGCAGCTCTGTACAGGTCACAGGCAGCAACAGCAGCGCTCTAGCTTTTCTAACACTAACATGCATGTTGTGTAAGTTATGTGAAAGACATGTCTGTAGTAACCATGTCAGTGGGTTTCAAACCGAACTGATTTCTTACAACCTGCTTGCTGCTGTGTTACAAACACTGCTGTCCTCTCTTAGAGAGGAATATGTCCAGCATGTGTGTGTGCATGTGTTAGAACAAGCAACCGGGCTGCACAGGGATGGGTGATGTCCCATCCTCATCTTGACATAACTAGAGAAGATTTAAATGAGCTGCAGGAGCTTGTGACTGCATCTGTAACTGTAAAGTAAAGGTTCCTTAAAGGTTGATGATGCCAACCAGGCAGGTCAAGACCAGAACTGGTAAAACAGCATCCTCCCTCTAAACATTGGGAGCACGCACAGCAGCCTGTTAGCATTAATTCAGTCAGGAGGGGGGTCGTGGCCTTGTGACCTGAGACACACTCAACAGGCCAAGGACCAGCGGCAGGTGTGTGTGTGTGGTGTCAGCTCTGCTTTCTGTGCAGTGTGTTTGGACAGAGACACACCAGGTGACGTCCTCGCTAGTGAAATGCAACATGAACAAACAGAGCACAGGATTCAGATACCTTTCCTGCAATGAAACATAAGCTCATCATCATGACTGAGAAGAGAAACGAGTCGTGCAGTCAGGCACAGGGCCCAGGTGCCTCATCTGTGTAAATGTTTGCTTGGGCATGAGAAGACAGATGAAGAGGACAATGCCACACAGCGCTGTCAGCAGAGAGAAAGCCCAAAACAGAGACTGAACTAATCAATACACACTGATATTTAGAGTGAGCTAGCAGAGGACCTGTAGGAGAACATGAAATGAATTTCATAGAAAGGTGAGTGCCTTTAAAGTCCCAAAGTGTGTGTGTCTCTTAGCAGTGTAGTGAAGTTAGTTTCCAGTGCCTTCATTTGTGCAGGCAGTAGAATCATATGGTACAGAACAAATACAAGCAGCTGCCCAAACAAACATCCTATAAATACCCCAAACCACCAATCAAGCTAAAAGGCTCAGCACCATCCTGATT